ACAAGGAGACTTCAATAGGAAGGCTAGCTGGACATATTTGAGGTGAGGATGATTGACTATATCGTTTATAATTCGTGAGTTGAGCGTGAGATTATCTAAGTAATCAAAATATGATTTTGATGAAATTAAATGATATATTCCAATGTGAATTGAATAAATGTGATTGCTATGTGGTCATATAAATGGATGTATGATTATACTAAGGTGGATAACCAAAGGGACTATGAATGAGGGGAGGAATCCTTGAAATATTAGGATTATTGAATTGATAATGAGGGATTAGAATTATATGAACAAATGTTGATAAATGTGTGATTTCCATATGAATTGAGAAGGGATATATGGATACCTATGTTGATAGACAAAGTGATTAAATGTGAAGTAAAGAATCCTTGAGTCATTGCATGACTAAATTGATATGAGTTCTTAGGGATAAATTGTGTCCTATTTAGGATATTGGATAAGATAGACATGGTCTTAGAAGGAGTGATGGACTACGGTCATGCTCAAAGGGAAAGGTGGTGTCTACCTAGAACTATATGACGGCAGCCCGGGGAGTCTTGATGAAGACTAGCCCGAGGTTGATAGATTATGATTGCTCGAATACAACAAGTGTTGTCGAGGTTGAAGCCACGACTAAGCAAAGATATATAAGCTATGTGATATTCGGGGGGTGTAAGCCCTAGGCAAATTAAGATTATATTCGGGGTTTGTAAGCCCTAGTCGAATAAAGGTTATATTCGGGGTGTGTATGCCCTAGTCGAATAAAGATTATACGAGGTGTGTAAGCCCTACACGAATAAAAGATATTACGCGGGGTGTATAAGCCCTACATAAATACAGATTATACGGGGTGTGTAAGCCCTAAACAAATAAGTATTACGCGAGATGTGTAAGCCCTAAATGATTGAGTATTATGCGAGGTGTGTAAGCCCTAAACGATTGAAGCATATGCGGGGTGTGTAAACCCTAAACGAATAAGTATTACGCGAGGTGTGTAAGCCCTAAACGAATAAGTATTATACGGGATGTGTAAGTCCTAAACGAATGTGAGTATATACAGGGTGTGTAAACCCTAAAATGAATGAATACAACCGTAGTGTTTGTAAGTCCAATATGGATGAGTACAAAGCATAAAACGTTTAACCCTTTCGATGGAATTGGATTTAGACTAGGGGTAATGTGACCTCTCAAACTTGCTATATGTAAGCATAGGTCAAGGTCTATTTAAAGGGGATTGTTTTGAAATACAAATGGGCATACGGGCCGGCTATTTGATTTGTATATATATATTATACAAGTGATTTGAAATGGGGCAGCTATAGGTTATGCCCATAATATAGTATCACCCTATGTTGAGGGTCTTGTGTTCGAAACATGGATTATATGCCGTATAGTTGCCATTGTACTTTTCAAATGCTTCAAAGTACTGACCTCCCCTTCACGGGGGAGACCACCTCACAGTTTTCAGGTAGAAGCTAGAGCTTGCTTCCTGTTCTCATTGCTTCGGGTGATCTATGGAGAGAAGACGTGCTTCGTGCTTCTTCCGATTCTATTTTGATACAAATGAAATTATGCTCATGTAACTATTTTAAACTATAAATGATTTGGGAGCCTGCGTGCTCATGTTTGCCTTGTGTGACCTTTGACTTTAAAAAATGTATTTGGTTTCCGCTGCGTATTTTGAAATGCTTTATTTATGATTGTTTATGGATGTACTTGTGTGAATGATATTCATGTATGTCTTGCATGGTTCGAGAGAGGTAGACTGCGGTTGCCTTAATCGGATTGTGCGACGGTTGTTAGTGTGTCCGACCAGCCCGGGGCGTGACAACATGCTTCAGAAAAATCACCACTAATTGGTTAGTCACGATTACGGTATCGACAAAAACTAACTCTTACATTATCGCTCCAAACGAGACAAAAGTCCAAACACTATTGAATAATTACTCAAGCTAACTTTGGTGTAGATGATCAATATTTGAGAATATCCTCCAAAATTTAGCTAATGCAAGACTTCCTATTAGGGGCAGAGCTAAGGGAGGGATAACCTAAGACTTGGCTCTCCCGAAATTTTGAGAATATCCTCCAATATTTACCTAATGCAAGACTTCCTACCGAGGCGGAGCTAGTGGAGGGACCGAGGGATAACCTAAGACCTGGCTCACTGGAAATTTAAAATATTTCTTTATTTTTAATGTAAAAAATTCCTAGTAAAATTTTCTCCAAAAAATACATATATTTTTTTTGAAAATGGTAAATGTGGTCCATTTGAACCTCTCAAGTATGAAATTACTAATAGCAAATTGATGGGCCATGGGGGTCCTATATGCAGCTATACTTGTTGACTAGGAGTCAACCATTACATTTTTCTGAGATGACAGCGACTCCGACCAGACGGTACGTTAGGAGGATGTAAATTGAATTATAATCCCAATCTGACAGATAGAGAGTGGGATTCTGTCTCTGGTATTTGCAGAGGTCCTATGCATTTTTAGCCTAGTAACCCCTCATCGCATTTGTCGAGATTCGAATCCAGAACCTAACCTTTGTGGCACTCCCTTGATACCAGTTGAGCTACGCCTGTACCATTACATTTTTCTTTTCTTGCTTTTTAAATACAAAATGTAGCGCTAAACATCAGTCCAACGGTTGGCCAGGATAGTTGACCGAAACCCACCATCTTTTACGTTGGCTGTTCTGAAAAAGTGAGTAAAAGAAGGAAGAAAAGGACAAGTAACGTTTGCAGATGATAAAGATACTCCGTAAAAGAGAAGCAAGTTTTCTGTTGCATGATTCTAGTAAGCAGAAACAGGCCCAATATGATGATTAGGCATCACATGCTCTGCCTCTTTGTGGGCCCACTTAACCATAATCCATTCGTCCCCTGCTATTCCGTTCCTTACCCACACCCCACCTGTCTATAGACTATAGAGTGGTTCCGCTCTGTTCAGCATTTTCAGAAAGCTTTCAATTCCGATAATGCCCCTACTTCTTTCTATCTCATTTAAAAAGGTATGACACCCGATGGCTCATATACGGAACAGTTAGATGGGAGGATGTAAATTCAACTTTAATCACAAGCTGACAGATAGGAAGTGAGACTCTGTATCTAATTTATTCCTCCAAATCATTAAGAGCCCGTTAGGTAATAGCTCGACTGAATCGGCTGATTCTGCTGAAATTTATGAAATTCTGACTGAAGTGGCTAAATTGGCTGATTCTGTTAATTTATTAAAAAATTATATTTAAAATATATTTTATTAATAACATAAATAAAAAATTATATGTAAAAATAGTTAAAATGATCCTCTATAATAACTTCAGCCAATACAACCAAAAAGTTAATTTCAACCTTACTTTTTCTTAGCAATTTAACCACTAAATCAAAAATTATATGTTTGATAAAAAAGTTGATTGATAAACCTCATAAACTGAAAAACTATGCTACCAAACGGGCTCTAAAAAAATACGTTTTGTTTTCAAGGTAATAATGAAATTTTCACTTCTTATTCAATTACTCTATTTGCTAAACTTGCTCCTTATGTCCCGCTTATTTTCCCTATTTCAATTCTTAGTCCATTCCGTGAAAATGTTTCTAATAATAAAGAGAAACTGATGGGTTGATAAGACTCGGTCGAACTAGTTAATAAGTTGAATTCAATCTTTTAGTTGGGCCCGATCCAAGTGACCCCAACACGAAACAGAACTCTACTAAATTTTACTCCTTCCTTCCCGAAATAATCTTCTTGTTTTGACCTTCACACAGATTAAGAAAATAAAGTTGACTTCACACTTTAGCGACACTGTTTGGCACTGTAGCGATATTGTTTGACACTGTTTTGCACTGTTTGACACCGTTTTGTATAGATTTATTTACCAAATAAGGAAATGAGACAATTATTTTGAGACGGACCGAAAAGGAAAGCAAGACAATTATTTCGGGACGGAGGGAGTAATTCATTATTACCTCCGTCCCTTAAAACTTTGTCAACTTTCCTTTTTTAGATGTCTCACTACCTTTGCCACTTTTCTTTTTAAATAAAGAATTTGTTGTTACAGTTAATTCTCTCTCCTCTGCACAAACCTCAACTACACAGTTTTTACTTTATTAATCCCCGTGCCGGTCAAACTTGACAAAATTTTAAAGGAACCTCAATCCATCCCGACTTTTGTCAATTTTGGTTTTGTTAATTTGGATGACATTAAAATTTTAACTTTACTAGTTCACCCTTTCTATCATTTTACTTCTTGAAAGTTCACATGTGGCCCCACATGAGGGACTGTATTTGAAAGTGAACTGCATATGTTTGTCACTTTGTTGTCTTCATTACAACCGTGCTTATAAAAGCAATGCGGCATTATATTTTGTGTTTACATATGTTTCTAATTGAGCAAGTTGGTTGATCTTTCTCCTGCCCGTCCATTAAAATTTTGCTAATTTTTGTGTGTATTCGACTAATTTTGTCACTTTCTTCTTTAAGTAAAAAATTTGTGATAGAAGTTAATTATCTCTGCTTTATACAATTTTATCTTCATTAATTTTTGTATCAGTCAAATTTGACAAAGTTTTATGGGAAGTATATTATTGCGCACTTGATCCCCGCATACAAGAAGTGTAACTTCTACAGTTGCTTTGAATTTTGATCATCTATCATTCCTCTAACGTTCCGATCACTCAACCAACTATTGTATCTCATACTCCTTCCGTCCCTTTTTGTTTAGCCAATTACTATTTTCCAAGTCAATGATGTTAAACTTTGACTGGTTTAATATTTGTACACGGTAATTTTGTTAATATGAAAATGATATAAAGATATTTTTTGTTAAAAATACTATAATAAAAATATAAATTTATTAAGTTTCTCATAAATATATTAGTTAAAATATAGGACCCAAATTTATCATTTTTTATTGAAAAAGTTAAAGATGATGGAATAAAAATGGAAGAAGATAATCTTTATATATATGCACACACATATTTCTGTCACTCTGCTTCTAAGTAAGCTGTACTCAAAATTCAAAAGGGAAGAGAAGCTAAGGCGTAGAAGCGAGAAAGAAAGATGTCCAAGGAAGTGAGCGAAGAAAGGCAGGGTGGCCACCTCCAGCACGGCAAGGACTACGTCGATCCGCCGCCGGCCCCTCTGTTCGACTTCGCCGAGCTGAAGCTCTGGGCTTTCTACCGTGCCCTCATAGCTGAGTTCGTAGCTACACTCCTCTTCCTTTACGTCACCGTCGCCACCGTCATCGGCCACAAGAAGCTCAGCGCCGCTGACAACTGCGACGGCGTCGGAGTCCTCGGCATCGCGTGGGCCTTCGGCGGCATGATTTTTGTCCTCGTCTACTGCACCGCCGGAATCTCCGGCGGACACATAAACCCGGCGGTCACGTTCGGGCTGTTTCTGGCGAGGAAGGTGTCTCTGGTCAGGGCGGTGGCATATATGGCGGCGCAGTGTTTGGGCGCCATCTGCGGCGTTGGGCTGGTGAAGGCCTTCATGAAGGGCTACTACGACCGTCTTGGCGGCGGCGCTAACGGCGTTACTGACGGCTACAGCAAGGGGACAGCTTTGGGTGCTGAGATTATTGGGACTTTTGTCCTTGTCTACACCGTTTTCTCCGCAACGGACCCTAAACGGAACGCGCGTGACTCTCACGTTCCGGTAATATGTCCATTTTCTATCATTTACTAACTACAGCTGCAGGTTTTGGTAGATAAGCAGTAAATGATTTTACCATTTTTATGTAACTAAGCTTATTCTCAAAAAAAACTTTAACTATATCATTTTACACGCCTTTAAATATGTCCGTGAATTTACTGTATAATTTTTTTTGTTTTAGGAAGAGAATCATTTTTTGTACAAACAAAATATCAGTGCGAAAAACGATTTTCTTGAAAACATCCTCTGTCAACGTGTACAACGTTTCTCATAAACAAAGTTGTTTGAGATATGGCGGTTGCAGATATTGGCTCCTCTTCCTATCGGGTTTGCGGTGTTCATGGTTCACTTGGCCACCATCCCCATCACCGGCACCGGAATCAACCCTGCGCGGAGCTTAGGCGCCGCCGTTATATTCAACAGCCCCAAAGTGTGGGATGACCACGTACGTAACTACATTTAAGTATTTAACTAACTAATCCGTCATTCTTATTCTTAGTTAAGCTTAATTAAATTGCGAAGAGTTGAAGTTAATGGAGAATTTGGGTTTGTGTGCAGTGGATATTCTGGGTCGGGCCGTTTGTGGGAGCACTTGCGGCGGCGGCATACCATCAGTACATCTTGAGGGCGGCGGCGGTTAAGGCTCTGGGTTCTTTCCGCAGCAACCCCACCAACTGATCAAATTCTCATTTTGGCCCATAGAATTATCCGGCAGCCGGCAAATTAATTAAAGCCCGGCCCTCTCGATCTTAATTAGAGTTATTATGTAATCCTCAACCTCTAGCTAGTTAGTGTTACATTGGTCAGTTGTGCTTAGTTTTTCTGATTAAGAAAGCTGTTATTAACCGTTAACTTTCGGTGTTTGCCGTGTTTTTAGTGAATCTAGCCTAATCATTCTAGCCTTCTAGCTTATATAGATTAAAGTCTTTTTAAAGTGAGGGGTCTATTTTGCTATCAAACTCGGGGAAATTATACTGTGCACTCCTAAATTTTGAGTGCACCGGTACACACATTTTCTTATTCAATCACATTTTAGTATTGTGCTACTAAATATGATTAACGACTTGTAGTGAGAATTGAGTTATTAGTCTAAATATGATTAAATTGTTTCTTAAATTTCTAAATAGGACTATGTACAGGGTCGGAGCCAAGGGGGGTCAGAGGGGTCAGCCGACCCCGGTGAAAGTTTGAGCGTATAAAGAAGATTTGAAATATCTTCGATTTGATATATTATGACCTCCGTAACTCATTACGAGTAAAAAGTTATGACTTCTGGAAAATCAGCACTATCTAAACGTGAAATCAACAAAATTTGATGCATACTATAGTTTTTTTCTCAAATTTTAAAAATATGGTATAATTCACTCAATACTTACGTGACACGACTCAGAAACAAAGCAAAGACAATTTGTCTTATTGCTACAAGTGCATATTTATCTAAACTGCATATGAAATATTCAACTTGGACATTGTTTAAAAACGATCCACCATTTTCACTCTGTATATAGGTTGAGTTTTGACCGTCCTGAGTCATTTTTCTGGCTCCGCCACTGACTATGTATATTTTTACTTTTTATACCATTGTTATCCTTCCTAATATAAATAAGGTTTAAATATTTTTTAGCCTCTGCAAATATAGTATTCCTGCAAAATTATTTTTTTGTTTTTCATTTCTAAAATGTATGTTAGTTTTTCTTTTAGTCTACTGCTGATTTAATAGAATTTAATACGTATTTTAAAAATGTGAGTAATTAGTTTTTATTTTTTTAACTCTCATATTTTCCTCAAAAAATTTATAGGGATGATTTTTTTTAGTGATATACTAAAAACCAAATAATGTATAATACAAGGATGAAAAACATAAAAAAAATATTTGCAGTGACTTAAATCATATTTAAACCTATAAACAATTGCCCCTAGTTTCCTATGCCGGTGATCCAGATCCGCGACGTTGGAGTCAGCGTCAGTGTAGGCCAAATCTTTAGCGGTAGACGCCGGATCTTTAGCCACGGCGGCCGACGTGGCCAGATCTGGTCAGATGTACGGTGGTGGTTCATGGCAAGATGTGCAATGTCGATGGTCAGATCGGTGATGCCCAGATCTGACCAGATGTACGGAGGCGGCGGCCAGATGTGTAGCGCCGGCTGCCGGCGGTCAACAGCGATGTTCGACTGCATTAAGTTTTGTCAAGCTTCAAGGGGTACTTTCGTACTCATGTCCAACTACAAATAATAATTCCTATTTAGAATACTTTGAAACTTTGCACATACTTTGACAATTAAATATTTATTTATTTCTATTTAAATAAATCTCGTTTGACGATTTTGTTCAGTTTAACCTTTTTTTCTAATCCGGTGAAGGATCCAAATGCAAAAATGGCAGATTATTATGTTTAGTTAATGAGGATATTAGGTGGCGTAAGATTAAGATATAATGGAATGGATGGTTAAAAAGGATGATGGGTGGTTAAAAATTATGTATACCAAAACACACCAAATTAAGGAATGCACCGTAGAAGCACCCAACAAACTGGTCCGACTCACTATTTTGCTAACCAACCATTCCAGCTCACTAGATGAGAGAGGTTAATGTGTTTAGTGAAAGTCTCAGATTTGAAATCTGGTAGGCACATTTAGGGGAGAGGAGGGATGTATTGTTCCAAATGACTCTTCCTACCTTCACATAGTGGCACAACGGCTAAGAAGAGAGAGGATAAAAAATACAGGCCTTCCGAATTCGCGCGGTGGGAGGACCTTTGCTGGATTCCGGTTGTCCTGTTGGATTCGTCCTAAATTTCAGGCTTTCCGAGTTCGCATAGTGGGACTGTGGGAGGACCTTGCTGGATTCAGTTCACAGGTTATTCTGTTGGATTCGTCCTGTGGAACCAGTAACGACGAAGGCTAACTGTGATCAGATCCGGATTTAACTGTCTAGAAGTTTTGGAGGGTTGTTCATAGATTCCACGATTAGAGAAGAGCGCAAGTACCGACACCTGGATCATAAAAAATCAAAATGGTCCGGAATCTATCTCAAACTTGATAGGCTAGTACCTATTTTCATGTCTAGCATTTTCGTTTTCATTATAATGATTTGATATTTATTAGAAAAACATACCTATAGAAATATCTAATTCGTAGATATTAGGATTTATAATACTCCCTCTGTCCAAAGTATACTTATATAATGATTTGATATATAGGTACTTCATTAGGTTATCTAATTCCTAGTCGATTTTTTTACTGAAATTTTTATGGTATGTTCTTCATTAATTCTAGTATATCCAAAAAAAATCAACTCAAAATTCGACCGGGAAAGCCTTCGAATCTTGAGCTGAAATTTGGTATGGATAAACTAGATTTGATGAAGAACATACTATAAAATTTCATCAAAAAATTCTACCGAGAACCAGTCCGAACAGCGTTGTTCGGACGGTGCCTTCTGTCCTAGCGTTCGGATAGGATAAATTCTATATATGTATATATACGAAGTATATATTCATATACTTTAAATGAAAAGTAATATCACTAATGCATAATGTAGAAAAAGTGTAATTGAGTACGTATTTTATAGGGAAAACTTATTAAAAACGGGAAGTGTGACAAGAATTAAAAGAAATCCTTAAAAGAAAATTGTTGCAAACATTTCGAAACAAAAAGACAGAGGAGGATTATATATATGTACTAATATACATTCATATGACTAAAGAATGCATTAAGAGTGGTACCGGTTATGGAAAAAACCGAGTATGAAAAAAATATTTGTTACATGCAATCTCCTACTTATATCTCCTACTTATATAAATCGTCACTTGGATGGAAAATCCGTTGATTTGCTGTTAAGTCCGTCTCCGTCTCGGACTCCTTGTATTCTCATTCTACTCTTCTTCCGTCAGTTGTTCAAGCAGGTGATGCTTGTGTCTTTGTCCTTGCGCCACGCCCTTTGGGTACGCGTCCTTTTATTGTGCAGCCGATGTTCAACCGACTTGTCGCCTTTATTCTGACCCCAGCTTTTACATACGGCGGATTGTATGGTCAAGGTGAGTCTCGCTTTCTCTTCCATGTTTGCATTCAAGAGCCTTCACCCATTTCTGTGCTGGTAGGTCACATTAATTTCGCCCTGATTTTTTGCTATTAATAGGCGCGTTGAATTCTTTTGGTATTAATAGGTGTGAAATTCGAAATTGCTTATCACTGATTACAATTCACATGATGAACTGGAGTCGAATGTGTGTATATGATTTTCAATTTCATGTACAGGAAGAACTTATCATGCGTTTAAACCCTAGCAGGAGAAAGTGTGTGAATTTTGCAACCAGTAGCAGAACTGGGTTACTTTGCTCTTCCTGTTGTGTTTTTTTTATTCCGGATTTTTGAGGGCGCGGTTAATATTGATGTTATTGGTAATATTGATGTTATTGGTGCCTCTAATGCTCCTGAATCTGCCTCTTTGGATAGCTTTTCTGCTGCTGCAACAGCAGCCCCAATTGCAGCCCATATTGATGCTTCTAATGCTACTGACTCTGTCCCTTTTGATGCCATTACTAATGGTACACCAGGAGCCCCAAATGCAGCCCTTTTAGAAACAAGCATGCCATCTGGGGGGAAATAGGCTAAGCATATTCAGCTCCATACACTTTGATCTCAAACATGTGATTCAAGGCATACAAGAAGGTCTCAACTACATGAAGGAATACGTTGTGTTCTCTATATGGCGTTGCTTAGCTGCCAAAAGTATGATTTCGAATTAGACTTGATGACTGGTCAAGTGCTTTGGTTCTTTGCTGAGTGTGCTTCATAACTTGACTGTGTCTTTTTCGGTTTACTTATTCTCTTTCACAGTAAGCTACTTAATATATTTCCAAATGGGAAAGCACAGTTACACATTGTCATAGTTCAAAGCAGACCTTATTTAGCTTTCATATTTATCTATATCGTTTCAGAGTTTAAATCTCTGAAAACATTGTCATCGTCCTTACTTAGTAACCGTGCGCCATCTTCTTCTGATGAAGTCAATAATATTGTAGATTCATTTTCGAGATTAGAAGTCGATCAAGCTCCAGATACTGAAAATGATCAATGTGAAAAGCAATTATCTATGTCAAGCAAATCAGAATGCAAATGTGGAATGCCTTTATGCATTTGTGAGGCACAAGTGCAAGATGATCCAGTCAACTTGCAAGAAAGGATATTTTGTTCATAAAGTGCATCTTAAAGTTAAACATTAAAACTTATATTTTGACCTTATAGTTTTATTTTACTTCCTGCAGAGTAAAACAACTACTTCTTCCATGGCTATAGCGCAGGAGGATCTAAAAACGAAAAAGGTGAAGACGGTGCCAAAGAGTAGAGGATCATCATCAAATAATAAGCAGGGGTAGGTAATACGTTTACCGTACCCACTAGGTCAATCTAATGGCCCACCATATCTGGTGTTTTAATAAATATCAGTTGTATTATAAAGTAGATTATTCAACCTTGGCCAAGTTACAAATGCTTCTGGCTCAGGAGAAAGTAACAGGGAGTTTTTTCAAATTTCAATTGAACCATGTAATCAATCGTCTGTCATCCTGATTCACCCCTGCCTCCATATTCTCTGCTTTGTTTTGGTTCCTTATTACTTGCACTTTCTGTATTTTGAGAATCTTTATTTCTTCTGATGGTTCCTGATTTTCCAGTTTTTTATCCAACTGAATTTGTCCCTCTCCAAGACCGTACTTATTACACAATTGAGGGCCCCGACTTTACTTGTGCCTGAGTTACTGCCAATCCTGTAAGGGCCCAGACAGATTCTGTCAAAATTGTTGTTACTTCCCTTGATATTGCCCAAGCTTTAGAGGCTGAGGCAGTTTATGTTACTGATGTTCTTAATGCTTCTCCTAAGGTATTACCGCATGCCCTTGATGTTTTGACTACTGAACATCCCGACACCTCTGCTATTGATGCCTTTGAAACTGTTTTTCGAGTTTCTGACCCCACTGAATTGGCCCCTTACCAAGATCCTGTAACTGAGGGTGAAACATTTTGTGTTTATGATCTTATTGCCCCTAAATCTAATGCTTTGTCTCTTCTAATTT